ACGCTGCCACAAATGTGTTGCACTTGTTGGATGCTTTGTTTTCACCCTTCTGTTCAGTTCATCTTGGAATACAATTTAAGCCTGAAGACTGTGGCTATCTACCACAACCTTCTCCAATCATTTGCTCCCTTTTTTTTAACGTTTTGATATCCCTATAGACTGCTACATCTGTACAGTGTTTTCCTAGTAGTGGACCATAGATTGCAGTTAGTGTAGTTACTGTCTTTAACTTCCATTGCTGCAGGAAGACTGTAAGTTCAATTCTTGCATGTTCCCTGAAAAAGGCCTGTTTTCTATTACATCTAAATGCCTTTTCACTTATTGGTGACCTTTGGTTTATAATTGCACTTCTATTTTCTGCAGTAAGTGCACACTCCTGTGGTTTTTCTATCTTCCACAGATATTTTAAGAGGTTTTGCTTAAACACTACTGTCTAGACGCACTGTTATGATCAACCACTAATACCCAATTCTTCTTGTGCGTGCGGATGAAATACAAGCGCATCATTTGGAGGGATGGCAATGTTCCACTGTAAGCTTTTCATGTAAGACTAATATGAATGTCTTGAAGTGTGGTGTGGTATAAGATATGGCATGGCATACATGTTACAGGTTTAGCATTATAACCATTGGCATCCTTATTTTTGGAGGCAGAAGTGAACATGTCAGAACAAATAAAGTCAGCTAATGCTAGAAATGGCCTGTATTTGTATAGCGCTTTACTAGTCCCTAAGGACCCCAAAGCGCTTTACACATCCAGTCACACACGCATTCACACACTGGTGATGGCAAGCTACATTGAAAGAAAAGCTGGATCCATAAAGTGCATGGGTGCACACACTGCTAATCACTGAAGTATATGCTTATTTGGCACTCTGTAGCACAAAGCTGGCAGATTATTCATTTTAAAATGTTTTACTGACAGGAGAAAGTGGCTCAAATTAGCAAACATACATTATTGGCTCCACCATTTTATCCAGTAAGTCTGGAGAGGCATTTTAAATTCTGAATGCTTTATAAAACTCAACAACTACAGCAGTTCAGACCCCAACTCTAATTATGATCCTAATGGTAACCTTAGGCAATTAGAAAATGCAACGTCTACCTTTGAGGAACACCTGTTGATCAAAACTGCCAGTCCTATAACCAAACATACGAGTTA